TGGTTATTCCTAAACGAGTCATGAAGGGTATAACGAACATACCCTGTCTCCACATTGGGTCAAGAACAGGGTCAGAGGGATCAAAAACTGCTAATTCATATAGAGCCATCGAACCGGCCCAACCAGCAACCAGAGCTGTATGCATTATATGGACAGAAAGTAAACGGCCGGGATCATTTAATACAACGGTATGAACATGATACCAAGGCAAACCCATGAAAATACCCCTTATATTAACAAAAAATAGACACTATGTAACTTTATTGCACTGTAAAAAACTATGCTTGCTATAGACCCTCCCCTTAATTAGTATTAGTAAATTATCTCACATTAAAGAATTTATATTTGTTCGAGTTTTTTAGAAACAAAGGAGCATTCTATCCGTAGGAACAAAAAGAAGCAGATCTATTCTATATCCGATAAGTAACAATACACAGTGGTGGTGGGGGTTTACTTTTTTTGATATGCGTGTTTATATCAGTGAATGCAGACAATGGATACTAATACAAGAACAACGAATCCTTTTTTTCTTCAAAATGAACATTCGTTGTTCTTATATTAGACACAAAAAGTCTACGTATGGGTCTTTCTTGGTTTCATTACAAAGATAGAGCTTTATATATATATATATATATATATATATATATATATATATATATATATATATATATATATATATATATATATATATATATATATATATATATATATATATATATATATATATATATATATATAAAATATTAAAAAAAATGAAAAAATGGAAATATTTTCGTTTACTCAACTCATGTCATGAGTTGATCAATAAATCGGTTGATTTGGAATCATAGGCTGGGTAGATGTCACAGATGATGAAATGATTTCTTACCTATGTAACTATATTTTTCTTTTTGTTCATCCATAATAATGGATTCATGAATCCATTATTTTCAATTGTATCTTTCAATTGGTATTTTTTGCTTACCTATTTGGATCTAAAAAAAATGGAAACTTAGGAAAGTGCTTTATAAACATATGTATAAAAAGAATATATTTCATCTAGTTTCCTTATGCCCACTATAACCAGTTATTTAGGTTTTATACTAGCAGTTTTAACTATAACCGCAGGTATTTTTATCAGTCTGAGTAAGATACGACTTATTTGATTTGCAATTTAGAGATGAATTGAAAATTGTAGAATATTTTGGATATTGATAGTTTCTTATCATATTTCCAATTCTTGGTCATTGAGATTCATGGTCAATATAAATTCATATTTAAGGATCGATATTATCCCCACCTTATTTTACTTTCAACCAAACTCAAATGATTGAAGTTTTTCTATTTGGAATCGTGTTAGGTCTAATTCCTATTACTTTGGCTGGATTATTTGTAACGGCCTATTTACAATACCGACGTGGCGATCAGTTGGATATTTGATTTAGTACTGTCTCTTTTGTTTATTGACCTCCTATTTTTTTTTAATCCTAATTGACAGGAGATCCAATTAACACTTTTGAGCCAATACTATGGGTTCTATCAAACAGATTAAATGGTTAAGTTAGGAGAGAAGTATCTAAATGATTCTATTCCTGTCAATATCAAACCATCTAATAAGTTAATTGAAACAGATTAAATGGTTAAATTTACCAAAGAAGTATCTAAATGATTTATTCCAAAGCCAAAACATCAAAATAAATAGAATATCTAATACTATTTATTTGGCATCAACTTAGGAGAGAGTTATTGAAACTTATATGAAAACCTAGAGCTCCCATTTACCGAGTCATAATATGAATGAATTTCATTTGAGATTTATTATACACGATTATACAAGGTTTTGACATATCATATCCAAAAAGAAAAAAAGATTATAGGTCAATATCATATTCACTAACATAAAATAACATAAAAGAGATTTTCATATTAGAATCGAAAACAATTACCACTCTTTGAAATTGAATGACAAAGTATTGGTTTTTAGGATTCATTCAACACATTTATTAGATTTTAATCAAAATATGAAATGCATTTTTTTAAAAGATTAAACAGAGATGTAAATAATTGTCACTCAAATTATTAAAATAAAATATGACATACAATCGTGCTCCTTCGTCAAACCAAAATGTCAGTTTCAAAAGATTGAGCTTCATAGTATTTTTCATTGAAAAATAATAGTGCAATAGTTGCTTTACACCAAAGATATGAAAAATTGAAGAAAAAAGGATGTATGGGAATAATACGGTGTCATAACAAAACTATAACTATTTACTTTGAGTAGCCAATACAAATATACCAACAATTATAAAATTTTCATTCATAACACCTATTAAATGTATCTATTAGGCTCCAATACTAATTGATAAATTTAATATAATCGAATAGTTACAAATTATAGCATATTGTTATATTAAAGAATAATCGACAATGATAAGAACGGTGTACCTTATAGGATTTGAGAGACGGCCGTCGGAAGAGTGATTATGAGAGAATCACTACCCTCATTGTCGTTTAGGATTTTCAAAGTATGTTAATTGTCTACAAAGTATGTTAATTGTCTAATGGGGAGACACTTAAATAGTTAAACGGCGGAGGACAAGAACTTCTCATTGAGCTTAACTGAATGGTCAAACCATCACGGTCAATTCAAGCACAAAACTCAATCAAACAATTCATCTATCTAGTGTTTAATAATAATAGACCATAATATAATTAATTAATAATTAATTATGTCAATCTATATTTGATTAATTAAATAACTAATCTAACAGTTGCATCACGACAATACATTCATGATATTTTAAGCCAATTAATTTGAGATCTTTCATTGATATAAGTTTTTTTATTTTTGAGGAATAACCTTGAAAAACTTTGATATCATGCAAACACTCGTAAAAACTTTACTTTTTCGTTTTAGATAGAGTGTGACATGTTGGAGGCAAATAAGTTATTTTTTCTCTATCTTCTGGAACCAACTGTTATCGTATAATCATCACCACTATATCTAAACAAGAATTCTTATTACCATTAGTCTTGTCTGAAATGTTTAAAAGTGTTCATGTCAAACTATTACACACATTTTTTTCCACATACATTACATTATAATTAGAGGGCCCAAAAGAAAGAAAGAAAATAGATTCACCATAGCAAATTTGATTTAACTTTGTTGTTTTTGTCTTTCACATGTAGTGATATTGCATGCCCCTACAAAGAAAACACTTGTTAAAATGTTAGTTCGACACTTGATAAGGTGATGCAACAAATTTTCCACCTTTAAGTCGTCCTTAATCATTCATGTTGCATTACAAACAATAAAAAATGGAAAAGATGGTGCAAGAATCTCATGCTCTCAAATAGCATAAAAATACAAAGTATTTTAATTAGAAATACGTAATCAAAAATATAAACAAAAGAGAAGTTAATGTTTAGTGAACTCTTTCAACAACAATAGTATATCACTTGAGTGTAACACCATTAACAATTACAACTACTAAAAACTTCACTTCAGTACCATATAAGTCAATAACATGGAATCTATTAACGGCACATATTTAAGTACAGAAAAAAATAGTTCTCTTTGAAAAGCATAAAAAGAAGAACCAACAAAAAGAGAAAGCACTAACCATGGTTCTCACATTCTTTGTTCTACTTTACATAGCTCATCATCTTTAAAGCTAAAACATTCAACAAAGATGAAACACTAAAATAATTTTGAATTAAAAAATTTATATTTCAATCTCAAACCATAAAATAACTATCTAAAAACCCAAATCAAAGACAACCCACAAAAAAAAACTATCTTAAACTTGTATAAATGAAAAACTATAATTTTTTTATAGGTTTTGGTAAATACCTGAATTAATCATAAAATAAAAAAAAAAAATGCAAGATAGTTCATCAATATAAATTTTGTGTAAATAAAAATAGTTGAATAAATCTAATATCTCAAACAAAAATCTAAATTACCAAAAAAGATTGTTCACTTTTAAACAATAATCATTATGATTTTACGATACAAACCTAAAAATAAAAGATTAGAAGAAAACAAACAATCGTCTCTTAAGACTCCCTTTATAACATTGTTTTTAAGCTCGTTTTCTTCTTCACGGTTTTCGACGCCACATTCTGCAAGTTCACATTTCATTAATCTTCATCACTTTTTTTGATAATGTTATATTTTTTATGTTAAAAGTGGACTAAGGTAATGTTTAAAAGAGAATAGAGAGATTGAAATTGAGATTGAGATGAAGATTTATTCAAAATTCAAATTGAAATCTAAAAGTGAGTGAAATGAAAAAAAATAAAGTTTTATCTCTTGAACAAATAAGATGTCCATTTCTTTTCTCTTTGTAAAAACATGAATATAAACATGTGCGTATCTGTACGATTTTATGTGTTTATAAAAAAGAAATCAATAAGAAATTAAGACAAATCAAACGCACTAGTAATAGGCGAGCACCCTAAAAATCAAACGGCCACTCGAAATTGACATAGAGGTCGTCCGGAACATGCAATACATTTCATCTCATTGGGTTTTTCGAACAAATTATAATACCGATTTGTTAAACAAATGTGAGAAATGACATGTCAAAACTGACTAACTGACTAACGGCAAAGTTAAAAGCCCATATACTTGATTGATTGATTAGTTGCAAAATCTAATAATGATACTTATATATTTTTTGTCGAAAATTAATATACAAAAATTAATTTCAATTCAAACAATAAAATTTTCAAATGTCTTTGTAATGTTTTAAGTCTTATTTATTAAAAAAAAGATATTTGAGTTTAATTATCATGTTAAAAAAAATTTATACTATCAATCCATAAATTTTAAACAAAGATGCTCATAAAATCAGTCCAAAAATATATAGTAACAAGTTAATAAAAAAAAAAAATTTAAATTGTGGTATTAGCGATTGAGTTTGAAGGAAAGAGGGATTAGGGTTTATCTTCCGTGTGTAGACAATTACAATTTACAGACTGAAAGAACAAGAGAGAGTTGAATTCGAGAAGCAAAGATGAGTGGCGGAGACGATTCAATCGAGCAAGCTGTTACTTCACGCCGGGAAAGACTCCTAGCTCTCAGAACCGCCAAAGAATTGTTACTTTCTTCAAATCCCGAAGCTAGCGATACTAATCAAGACGAAGATCCACAATCACCACCTACTGTTTCTGAAGATGATGAAGAACAAGAGTATGTAGTTGCATTTTTTCTTCGGATTTTGAGTAATGTGATATATATATAAATGGTTTAATTGTTTTTTGAATTGAATTATTGTTGTTGTAGCAGAGAGGGAAAGCTGAGCATGAAGTTTCGGAATTATGTTCCTCACGATAAAGATCTTCAGGAAGGGAAGCTTGCACCTGCAGTGCTTCCAAAGTTTGAAGATCCTGTTTCTGTTCCTGAGCCGGAGCCTCAACCCACTGAGGTTAGTTAGGGTTTGGCTCTAAGTGATACTGTTTTTAAGTGCTTATGTAAAAGTTATTTTTTATAACAAAAGATAAGATTAATTGATATTGTTTTTATATAAGGTATAAGCTGTTTCCGTAAGTTATTCTGATGAGATTATGGAGATATGCTGAAAATTGGCTCTAAGTGAAAACTGCTTATGCTAGTAGATAAGCTCAAATAAGTCCTTGCTTTGAACTGTTTTTATCCTTTTAACTTCTTGTTATTAGGATCCGTTTCTTAATATTGCTCCCAAAAAACCCAACTGGGACCTGCGCAGAGACGTCCAGAAGAAGCTTGATAAGCTTGAGAAGCGAACTCAGAAGGCTCTCTATCAACTTATGCGTAAGTCTATGTTATCACTCTTTTTCCTGCATTTAAGATAAGGTTTCTCATTTTTTATTACCATTTACCCTTCATTGTTTGATACATTTGCAATAAATGGCGGGTTGGGTAAATGGTATTTTTAATTGGTGGAAAGAAAGAAAGCAGGAAGGGTAGCAATATGATAGCTGTCTATTTTGCTAGATAGAGTAACTCCACCATCTGGGTTAGCTGTAGTTAAGATTCCAAGCATTGACTGTAATGAACGGATCAAAACAGTTGGAATTCAGATCAAGATTTGGTCTTGAATCTGATTTACTTAAGTCAAAATGAGATCTACCATTACAGATTCTCTGATTTTAGTGAATGCTTGAAATATTGATTACTAAATGCCTTTGTTTCTCCAGTGTTCTAGTGTGTTTCAAAATCTGTCGGAGAAATTTCAAATGTATATTACTCTCCAAAGATTTCTGAATATTTATTTAGTCTTATAAGTCCTTGTCACCGTCATTCCATTTTTAACTTGTCATATAGACTATTTATGATGCTCCATAAACAGAGTTACTAATGACGTTTTTTCTATAAAATGCCGAAGTGATCAAAAGTTGAGAGTTTGAGACAATAAAATGCATTTTCCCTGAAACCAATTATATTTAATCAGTATTTCTGTAATTAGTGACACTTTCAGATGTCGGCTATTGAATTAGTATTGTTGGCCATTTCAAATCTCACATGTTTTTTTATTTATTTGCCCTGGCTATAGCCATATGTTTATGCAGATTCTTTTTTCTATAAATTCTTGCTAGTAGGAAAAGACAAATTCTCTTGGTACTACTAGTTTTTTCTTGTCAGTATCTTAATAGTTTGACTTAAAATTTGTTAATACTCTTCCGGAAAAAAAAAAAGAATCTGTTAATGCTATACTCTGAATATGTTGCGTTCCATGAACGTGGACTGTGGAGACATAACAATGGATTGGTGATTTTTCAACAGTGGAACAAGAGAAGCAAAATCAGCTGGCTGAAGGAGATGATACAAATGGCGTCAAAGATTAGGTTTGTGATGTTGCAGCAGTAAAGATATATTGTTACAGTATTTTGAAAATCCTTATCCAATTCAGGCTGCTAAACAATGAATTAGAATCAGATACATATTTTCTTGCAAATTCTCAGTGAATGGTGAATGTTGCATCATTCACTTCTCTTTTATTGGCCAAGCATGGACGCGGAAGAACTGTTTTAGCGGTATTGAACTTTTATCATGTATAACATTGTTAAGTTTCAAGTATCGGATGTGGAAAGATTTAACTTGTTTGTCTTGGAAGTTTGGCAAAGTGCTTGGACTAAGAAACATATACATGCTTAATTAAGGGGTTGATATCAATGGAAATTTTCAGGAACATAAATCTCCTGTCATTTTAGTTAATCTTTTGATGTTTATTTATTTGAGCAGCAATTGTGGTCTTTTATTTTGATGACAAAAAGGATATGTGGAAATCAACTATTAATATAATATAGGGTTAAATATACAACACCCCCGGTAATATAGGCAAGTTTCGATTTATCCTCTATAATATTTTTTTTATTCTCCCTGTAATTTTTTTTTCTTTTATCTTCCTAAGCGTGAAATTTTAACATTGAATCTGGGTAAAAAAAGAATTACATTTTTTACAGGAATAAACTAAAATTTGTCTATATTGCAGGTTGTTTTATAATTATAAATAAAAACTGTCTATATCAATTGCTAGTAGTTATTCAAAAATTACATTAGTGAAACAGAAACTAAGGGATTGACAAATCAGCTGAAAAGTTTGAAGTTATGGGTTAGGTAACATTGAAAGGAAAAATACAAGAACTGGGGTACTTGTCGTGTGTGTGATTTAGGTACTTCAGCTCGTCATAGACTCTCATTTGAAACACTTTGTTTACGCTGGAGTGAAGATTTTTGTAACAGCTCCATACTTCTATAATGTAATAGATTTTTTTTAAGTGGATGAAATGATAATAGCAATAAAAAAATTATGCACACAATTACGAAATATTAGATTTAAACTCGAGCATATTTAATGTAATAAAATCAACCCTTGTCGGTGAGTTAGATTTTACGTCTATGGAATAGAAGTTGCTTTGGTTAGGACTTAATTAAGATCATCATATTAAAATTAAAAAAAAAAATGAATTTTTCCATCTTCATATTATCTGTCTACATATCTAACTACAAGATGATAAATTTAGATAGTGAATATAAGCAGACTTTTTTTGGACGGGTAAAGGTAAAACATATGTACCCAAAAAAACAAAAAAAACTATAAGCACAATCACTTGATAATAATAAAGAATAACAAGATGAATTAGAAAATGTAAAAGTAGAGAAGAGTTCTAAGCTCTAATATTCAAATCATATGAATTACACATTAAAAAATGTATCGGAACATCAATTTTATTCCTGAGTTGAAAAAAAAAAGAGTTGAAAATTGATGAATTGGAAGACCAAACTGATTGTATTTGGTTTGCATGAAGTTTAAAATGAGATGACCATTATCTAAATTGATTCAGTTGATTTAAATTGAATTATCAAGTGACAAATCATTTAAATAAGAACATATAGTATTTACAAAAGCATTTGATTGTAAAAAAGACACTATTATTGTATGGTAAACATTGTTGAAATATCATAAATAAATTCCTTTGAATATCAAACTCTTTAAAATTTTAACACTTAAAAGGAAATCATTCTTTCCATGCAAAGCACAAGTCAATTTTACACACCAACTTATACAAATTGGTTTTAACAAATGGAGGATTTGAGGTACATTGAATACAACTTGAGATTTTTTCCATTAGACACTTTTTGGTTTCCTCAAATGTTGTAGGGAAGGGAGGAAGATGATTTATGAAGAAAGAAAAGTCAGAAATAATGAATTTGGTCCCCATGCTGACATTGACATGCATTGAAAAATCACCTTTGCTTCTTCTTCAAGCTAAGTTGACATTGCTCAATTTTGTACGGTTGTCATCATCCCTTGATATTGTTGTTGGGGGAGCCAGTTTGTCCTCCTTTCACATTTTCTGTTCTCCATGAAGGACTCACTTGTGGAAGCTGATAATCGTCTGGTTTCAAGGCCAATGCAAAATCAGGCAATGTCGGCGCCGTTTCCATGATTCTGTAATCGGTAAATATTTACAACATTAGGAAAAGGAGAACTATTACTAATTAAAGTGATACTAATAGTCATTTTACAACTGTCTCAAAAGAGGTACGAACTTTGTTCATTGAAGCTACAAGGTCAAACTGTTATCACTGTAGTGACATCTCGGAAACTTATTAGGTCTCGTACTTTTTTACATTTTACTAAGCGAAAAAAATATCAAGTCAAGTTTATTTACCTTTCGTAAGTGTATAGATCGCGGTTTATTCGAACCTTGCTTGAAGTATCCTTGGGAATTTTCTCAGAGAGGTATTTCATGGTCCCCCAAAGTGGTGGGTTCCTGCATCATGACTGAAAGTTAGGTTGACGGTGGACGGTAAACAAGAAAGATGCCACCAAAAGAACAATATTTGTTGAAGAGTGCTATATTTCATTCATAAATAGTGCAACTTAAAATAGTGCCTAGAAAAATGCTCTTAGAATATATCCAAGGTAGTGGTTCATGTCAAAGAGTTGAGCATATTTATACTATAATATAAAGGGAAATCTAAAAGTAACTACCACTTTTAGTTGGGCATTTTTTTTATTCAAACTTGTCCTTAACAACACAATTATTTTCCCTAAACAATGGAGCTGAGGAAAGTTTAATAGCATAACAGTGAGAACAAGGAAATGTAATGATGACCTTGACAATGGAGCCGCTGCGTTGAATGCCTCACAGAGCTTCTTACTCTCTTTGAAATACTCATCTGCTGCTTGTAGAGCAGCTACAGCCATCCCATGAGATTTTTCTGTATTTCCCTCGTCAAGAATCAAACCATGATAATAATATGCCGCAGCCTGATAAATCATTACAAAAAACATATCATTATAATAACTGGCTAAAAAGAGGGAACTAACTCATTTGTTAGGGATATCGATTTCTTGTGACGCTTTTAGTGTGTCAATTTCTTAGAAGTACTTGACCTACATTTCCCTTTTATGTTCAACTCATACTACTAAACAATAACACATAATAACCAACTAGTAAAAGGAAAATAAAGGAGGGCACAAAAACACAAACCTTTGATTCAATATACTTCCATTTGACATAAAGACGGTGTTTTTCACCCCAACCATTTGCTAGCGGAAGGTTCGTAATATTATCTTGAGCCTGAAAGAAAAGGAGTCTAAAGATTAGCCTTGTATGTTGAATTATCGTGCCCATGTTGACATACTAATGTACACTCACATGCACACACAGAGTATATAGAATTGAAACAAAGAAAGAAGTTAGAGATCCTACAGAAACCGCGGATAGAACAGATAGGACATGACATCAATTGAGAAATAACTGAGACTAACTATTTATTTAGTTTCAAAAACCTGTTAGACGGAAGCCAACAAGTTCATCAACAGAACAGATGTCTTGCTAAACTAACTTATTTACCAGTTTTATAAACAAACAGAAGAATAGACCAGTAGTAAAACGAGAATTCAATGATCCCATTAGATATGCCTATTGATATTTATTCGGAACTATAATGATTAAAAACTTTGCATTTGTACCTGTTGCCAATATTTCACCATCTCACATGCAAGTCTACGCTTCACCGCAAGAGTGGCTTTGGTGCTATCAATTGCCATTCCAAGTTGGATATCTACGCCCTATCAAAACAATTGAATATACAACATCAGTACCATTTTACATAAGATTCACCAGGACAGTAAAATATGCACAAGTCTGATGGTATAGAATCATGAGTTCTTAAATAGAAAAAGTGTGCCATCTGACTCAAATCGCATCGCTAAAAAGTTACTCAAGACAAATACAGTAGGAATTTACACATAATTAACTAAATTAAAATGAATGCAGCCATGAGACAATATCCCTCTTGAAATCCTTTCGAAACATTATTTATCACCCCGTTGTTCATAGAGTTTATGTTTTATATAGAACTAAGATAAGAGTTTGACTTGAATTTTAGTGCAAATAAGGTTATATCCTCCTTTATTTCTTAATTAGGGAAAAAAGAAAGATACTTAAACATGCCAGTTTCAATTATATTATTCAATGTGCAATAACTTTTTCTATAACTAGCCTACTTCCTCAATCATCAGGTTGTGCCTTCTTTAAAATTGATTCCTATATCCACGTTCAGTCATTGACAACTAAACTACTCTTGGAAAATCTATGACGGTATACTCTCACCGTCTTATTTATGTGTCATTTGAAATGTATGCACTTCTTAAAAAAATGACTGCTTACACTAATTTCTAATGCAAAACAAGATGTTTAGACTCACATATCCCTGTACTTCATTTATTAGTTGTTCACCATATACTTACAAAGTATTAACTAATTATGTACATCTATCTAACAACTTACGACTTTAGGAAAGATGGGTTGTGAAAATATGGTATGGTACCATAGGCTATCCTAGATCAAATGTTAGGCCACCCACAGATTTCCACTCTGGCAAACTTTATGCTCCAGATTTCCATTCCTAAGCATGAGGGTCATCGGTTAAAATCACACTTTTTTGGGAAAATGGGCTTTAGAACCCCCTATGATTATTTGGAGATTCCTTACCTCTTGAGCTAGAATTTGGAGTTATGTTAGGCCTAGTCCGATATCAATTCTAAGAGAAGACACATAAATAAACTGTTCAGCATTGATACGATAAGGCCTAGGCATGAGTATATAAGTTGGGGCAATTCTCATCTTACAAGCTCGTTTTGTAAGGAGGATGATGTAGGTTCATTATAAAATTTAATATGATATCAAAGTCTATCTATCGGGCCCACCTACTCCTTATATCTATGCACCAAGTTCAATAGTGTGGGGAGTAAGGGGGTGTATCAGGAAAAACCCAAGTCCCACATGAAATAGAGAAAAAATTGTGAAATGAGTTTATAAATAGAAGCATTTTCCCCTTACAAGTCAGTTTTGTAAGGTTTGAGTTAGTCTTAACCCAAATTCTAATCTGATATCAAGCCTATTCAAGATCCGTTTGGTCACCTACTATCAGGTCACCTCTATCAAACACTATGGTCACACTCCAAATGTCCAATTATGGGCATGAGGGGTGTATTAATAATCCTGCATTTGATGAGATAAGACCAAACATGAGTAAACAAGTTGGGGTAGTTCTCACCTTACATGCCGATCTTGTAAGGATGATGTAGGTCCATAGTAAAAACTTAATATAAACCCTACCAAAGTAATCGTCTAGTCAATTACTTGATTATTCAACATACTCCATGATAAGAATAGTGAGCAAGAGGTTTTCCACCATCAATAGTAACAAGTCATGTTAGTATTTTAGCCATTAAATGTTATTTCCATTTCTTAATCATATTCTATGTGTATTCCAATTTATACATGCATAACGAACTTCAAGACGTAAGGCGAATGATTGGTAGGTTCATACAAAATAAAACGTGAATACCTGTCCCAATGTTTGTAGACAGAGTGCTCGAAGAACTCCCTCTGCGAGGTCTACTGGTAAATTTCTCCTAAAATCAGAACCAGCTGTGAGAAGAGTAATTGGAAGAAGAAGAAAAAAACGAAAAAATGGCTGTTCAGATTACACAATGGTGTGACATTCAATTTGTTGCATTATATATGTATGAACCTGATCTCAGCAGGCAACTGTGGAAGAACATCTCTGACAGCACAATCAAGATATCCAGCTGACTTTAAGAAGATATCAACAGAGGCTCGTCTGTTTTCTGTTAGTAATGAGTAATCACCAAAAGTTAAAACTCCGTAGCAGAAAAGGTGTACATAAGGGAATCAATGAAGACACTTTGTTAGAAACACAGTTCTATAGCATTCTACCATACAAGACAACAAAAAATGGGTTTTTCAGTTTATCGGCTTCTGCAATATATGATCAAGAGTTGAAAAGGGTTGCAGCAAACTTCATGCATTCGTATTATTCTGTCAAAAAATAACAAGACAATATTTCCGATCCAAATAATAGCTACCTCAACTCAACTTGAATAACATTATTATTAATTTGAGATTACAAAATTAAACTTCTACTACTGAACCGACACCTCATGAACAAGAACACAGGGTTTAAATTGAAGGCCTAAACTATTCTCCAATAAAATGAATGTTGGTTATTCGGTGTAATAAGCAATATGTAATGTTTTTTTTCAAAATTACTCACCTTCTGATACTTTTGGCTGAGAACCATCGGTGGATGTTCTTGGAAGAAGTAATAAATTAGCCTGTGATAACAATAGTGTTGCCATCAAGTGCAAAACTGACAACACTTCATACCAAGCATTAGACATCGCTGTTTCCTGCAAGTGTCGATCACACCAAAAGAGGAAAGAAAAGTAGAGTGAGAAAAAATTGATCCAGCATATAGAATTAAGTTTTCAAATTAAAGCCAAACTAACAAGGAAGAAAAATAATTCAAAAACTAAACTACCTCTGCTTCATCCTCTTGATTCACCCATATAAATTGTACTTTGTATTGTAAATTGCTTCCTGCACAATAAAGATAAGCAGTTAATCAAGACATTCCGTGGAGAGAACTTCTATCAAGTACAAATAGACAAAAACCTGCATTACCATCATCGACTAATCCCAAAAGTACCGGTAAGTAGTCTTCCAGAGCCTGTAGAAGATCAGCCAATGTTGAACCTCCTAAGGATGAAGTTGAGTTACGCATCAACAAATATCAGTAAATAGTTATTTTATTATGAAAAAAAACTGTTATGTCCTTGTTATAACACTAACCATGTTGTGTTGCACTTTTTCTTTTTGTTCTTGTAACTGTAGGACCTTCTTGACCAGCCATTACAACTATACGAGTTCTAAGAGCAGATAAGCGTTCCACTGTGCTCTTCGACAAATAATCACCAAGTGACTGTGCAAAATCAACTGGTTTAGGAATTCTTAGACCGGGAACATAGACAGAAACATCTCCAATACTCCCCGGCTTCCTTCGATTTCCACCGGAATCATTTGATGACGACAGAATGCAGCCCATGTCCTGCGTACTTTACCTTCTGCTACAAAGAAATCACAGTGAATCACCTCCAAGAATCTTATGTTTCTGCGAATACAACGAAATCGAACTGTATCAGACATCAAGCTTCACAAATTCACGAACAAAACGTAACAGTTTCACAAATGTATTCCAGCGACAAAGATAATCAATTAAGCTCAAAGAGAGTTTAGAAAATTCTTACAACTTCCAATAAAGTAAATGGTAAAAAAAGACATCAAGACATCACTAATTAAATGCCAACCAATAAAGTTGTGGTAGGTTACTCACGAGCAGAATAACCAAAAGCAAAACTAGAACTATCCATATTCCATCCATGCTAGTGTTATATATAAAATTCACACAATATTTTATTCAGCAGAATTGATTTTTCTTACTTTTTTCATTTGGCCCTTTTACAGCAGCATTATTGGTTTCTAGTTCTTTATTTGTAAGGTCCCTATTTCATAATCTAAAGTCATATAATTAATAATATGAACCTAAATTTTACCTAACTAATCTTGTCCTTTGCTCTGGCCGTTTACTGGTAAAGTCAAAAGTTATGCAGCTATTTTCTTTGCCATAAATTCACAGGTAATAGAGACTTTAGGTTGAGAATGATATAGACATAAAAGAAACTGAATCACAAGATTACAACATGCATGGCGATGATACAAAATAAAACTGAAAGGAACTTTCTCTCGTGCTCCCCATTACATCAACAACAACACAGATAACAAACAAATCAAAGTATCTTCAAGCAAAAGGTTGTAGATCAAAAAGTTCAACAAGAAAGAGAATTATTGACTTGTGAGTAAAGAATTTCCAAACAAGTCCAAAAAAGCAACAATTGACAAAAATCCCCAAAAAATAAACATTTTTTTAATCCATTTCTTGAAAAATGAACCAGTTCATGAAACAAATTGTTTTGTACTCCATTGGATAACTCAAGCTTGAAGTTCAAAACTTTCTGAAAAGTACTGAGAAAAATGCTCCATTGGAGAAAAATCAATCAGAATCAGAACCTTGAATTTCAAAGATGGGATTAATCAGCATCCCATCCTCAAAGAAAAACCCTTTTTTTCTCCATAAGATGAACTAGGTTAAGCTAATTTTCAAATAAGGTAAAAAAAATCAAAATCAAAAGCAGTACCTAACACAGAAAAAAGCATTTATTCAATTAAATGAAAACTATTTCAATTTTCTTCTACTGAATTCATAACAATTTCAAAGAACAAAACTCATCCCAATAATCCAATTCAGAAACCAATTAAGAAACCAATTCAGAATTCATATGATAATGAGTCTTACCCTGAATAGATAGAGTTGCAGCAACAATTGAGTAGCCAATTTTAATCCAATTGAGAATCAAAGGAACCCTAAAACTAGTTATGAAGTTTGAAATTTGAAGGTGAAGATGGTAGAAGTGAAAGAGTAAAATGAAAAGAATGTTTCTAACCAATTTCTTCAAAGAAGAAGAACAGAGACAGAGACAGAGAGTCTTATTTAACAACAATGTTTTTTTTATTTTTTATTATTAGTTTAATTTATATTGTGGAACATTAGTTATTTTTTGTCTTTATTTATGTACTGTATCGATATATTTTTTGTCTAAGATATTTATATTTTATATCTATCTTTTTATATTCATCTAAATTATATTCAGCTAAGAATTGTATTATCTTTTTTATTTTATTTGAGAAAGAAAAGAGGAAAATTATTAATTAAATGAGATACAAATAATATTCTGTATGTATCTTTATAATTATTTTAGAATAAATATTTTCTTTTAAAATCATAAATAAACTCTTAGCTAATCATTTCAAAACCTAATCTTGTACCCTCAAATCATCTTTTGATTTTCTTTTCTAAATCTGTATCTTGCAAAGTAATGAAACTTCAAATTTAAATTTAAATTAATTCTGTAACTAAAGTATAAAATTTATTGAAATAATTTAATTTCATAAGAATATATATTATTTTGTTAAAGTCTAAATATATAATTACAATGGATTCTACCAAAACTTATTTTTAGATGAAATTAAAAATAATGTATTGAAATTTTTTTTTTTATAAAATTGATATCTGTTATACTTTAAAATAAATATAAAAAAATCAAAAGTAGCATGAAAATAAGTATGATATGATATTAAAAGTAAAATAATTTAGATTTAAAATTTGAGATTTAGTCTTCATAAAAAATTTATTTGATATTTAGAGTAAACAAGGAATATCTTTAAAATAAAACATGAAAGTTTATTCTAGAAAAACAATTACTTTGTGGATGGTTCATGGTTTGGTTAATTTGAGCATGGTTTTTGTTTTAAAAATAAGAATAACTATTTAATATTTATACAATGGATTTGCTTAGAAAAAATTTGTTTTTAAAATAAATTATAAGAAAAAATCACTCATAAAAGTATTTATTAAGTAAAAAGCTTAAATTTTTTAATTACTATCTGCTTTATAGCTGTTTTACAATAATTTATTTTTTATAATTTTAGAAAAGAAAAAAAGATAATAATAAAATATTACTTTATATTTGTTTTATAATAAATTTATTTTTTTTAATTTTAGAAATGAAAAAGATAATAGTAAATTATTACACCTTGACTCCGTTTTAATTATGTGTTCCCTTAAAATAAATTATTCTATTTATTTATCTTTCACTTTTAAATTTTAAAATTATATAAACTATATTTATCAGCTGTGCTTATTTCTTATCAATAATTTTATAATCATATTATTAAAAAAAAGGAAAATACTAATAAATAATTTATATATATATATATATATATATATATATATATATATATATATATATATATATATATATATATATATATATATATATATATATATATATATATATATATATATATATATATATATATATAAACTTTAGAGATAATTATATTTATTTATTTCAAATAATTATATTTATACATTTTAGAGATAAAGTTTTTAGGAGAATAATTTAGGGACTACATAATGATTTATTTGGAATATTTATACAGTAAAAACTAAAAGTGTAGTTTATAATATTAAGCATAAGGAAAAATAAATAAGCGTGAGTGGCAAGTGACACCGTAATGGTACATTGTCTACAACAGACCATAGATAGTTAGATTGCTTGCCGTCCCGGTCTCATTCTTTTTTTTTTTTCTTCTTTTTTTCTCCGGAATATATTATAATACTATAACATAAATAAATAAATAAATACTAGTACTAATTAATAATTCACCAATAATACAAGTTGGGACAAAATATGATTATGTCTGCAGAATATTGGTTTTTTTTTGAAGTTATAAAAGCAAGAGCTTATCATAATATGTTCTCAATAGCTGCACGTTTCTTTTTTGTTTTTGTTTATATTAATAAAGTAAAATAATAAAATAAATGAAAATGTAAGAAATGTTGTTAAGACAAGCTAAAGAAATCAATATTGAAATCCTGTAAGAAAATAGTATTTAATCTTTTTGAAAATTTTGAAAATTGTCATTTCTATTAGAAAACTATTAGTTTTAGTTTAACAATTTCGGTAGGGAGTGATTTTATTGTTATATATTTTTAAAATTTTTAAAATTAAATTAATATCAACTTTGTGTTTTGAAAAGTTTTCAAATCAAAACTATTTTTAATGTTTCAAAACCAAAATCAATTTTGAATATAAACATAAAAATAAATATTATAATTAAGTAAAGTATTTATTTATTAGTAATTTTGATTAATTTATCAAAAACAATAATAGGGATTGTAAGTGGTGGTTCTCGGGAGTCCGTTTTTAAGGTGATAGTAGAGGGTAGTTGCGATAGTTTTTGAAGTGATAGAATGATGAGATGAAATGGTGATTAATGATGGTTGAAAATATCATTGTTGCGATAGTTTTTGAAGTGGTAGAATGATGAGATGAAATGGTGATTAATGATGGTTGGAAATATCATTGTTGGTGGTCAGAGTGGTTGTCAAAGTAATATTTAGTGGTTGTTAAATTGATGATTAGAGGTAAATGTAATGATTGACAATGGTCAAATTGGTGATTTGTGGTGGTCATATTGATAGTCGCTTAGTGGTTAGATTGACGATCAAAGGTAGATGGAGTAATGATCGATAATACTTGTAGTGGTAGTTGGAGTTGTGGTTATTGGTGATCGAAGGTGGATTGAATGATAATCAACAACGCTAAGAGTGGTGGTCAATTGTGGTTATAGTAGTGGTCGATGGTGGCCACGTTGTTGTTTGGCAATGGTTGGAGTAGTGGTTACAATGGTAGATGGTGATGATTAGACTAGTATGCGGGTGTAATGGTAATCAGTAGTGGTTGGACTGGTGGTCACTGTCATAGTCGACAGTGTTAGATTGGTGATCATAGATGAATGAAGTGGTGGCTGCTTATGGACAACGTGGTGATCAACTGTGTTAGGAATGGTGGTTGCCAATAGTCAGATTGATTTTTCTCTATTGTAAATATGCCTTAAAACCTTTGATGATGAAGAGAAAGAAAACATATTTTAGAGATTGCATTTACCGCGAAAATCGAACAAAAAATATTTAAAAAATCGGTTGATGAATAGTATCGTCCGTACGGTGAATAGTATTTCCAATTTTCGAGCTTTTTTGATTCGGTTTATGGATCCATGTGATTTTGGGCTTTGTTTGTTGGGTATTTGCTATTATAAATATGTATCTCTTATATGCTTGGTGTGTGACAATCTTAGAGTTTTCACCAACAAGGGAGACCAAATGTTTAAAGGTATAACATAGGGTTTCAGCTATGCACAAAGAAAACCTTGGATTTGAGTGATTCATATATTGAGAGTTGGAGAGGTAGGAAAACAATTGGGTAGAAAATAGGGTTGTTCTTGGGAGCCTTCAGGGTTGTTCTTGGGAACCTGAAGGCGAAGACTATTTTCTTGTAACTCATCTGTAATCTCTTGTAATAACTTTCTGAGTCTAGTGAATTGGAGAGCGGCTCTCTCCTCCAGAGTAGATCGTTTGATTGA